ACATTTTACAAAGTGCTCCTTTAAAAATAAAAATAATTTCTTAAATTAAACAACATTGTACATGTATAAACTGGGTCACACCTTTTAAGTGGACGGTGGGTCTTATTTCCAGATTTTTTGCCATTTGCAGTAAAACCACATTGGAAAAACAGTAAGACTACTCCAGTGTGCACCAGGATAGTTCACACCAGGGCTCATGGATTAAGCAACACTAGGAAATGTGAGTGTGTTGCTTAAAGGCACAACGGCTGAACCGTCTGAGATATTGTGGGTCACTGTACCTTAAACTCTGCAGAATTGCAGCCCTTTTCTCTGACAGGATAATAGCTCTTTTGCAGCGTGGGAAATCTGCTGTGATCCTTCTCGGACCTCTCGTGCGAGGCCCCTCCTCCTCCGTGGAAATCAAAGGCTTGGCGAGGTCTCTGTGGGGGGTCTGTCATGGAGGCCGTTATTGCACTGAGGAGCGGGGAATAGAGCCATCCATCCACGTGAGCAAAACAGGATCATATTAGAGCCGGTTCCAGTCCGACTGCTGCAGGAGCATCTCTGAGGAGACACTGGGCGGTGGCGGCGAGGCGTGTGGGGCCGTCAAAACCACTGCAGCTGGGATTAAATGTGTGATAATTGCAGAGCTGGGATTGGGATGTTTGATGACAGAAGTGCGTTTACAGAAGTTTAATGTTGTGTAGAGTAAAGCTGTGGGTTTAGAGCAGAGGACGCCCGACTCGGCTGGAGCTCAGAGCGAGGAGGAGACTCTCTGAGGACGCCATGGAAACGGAAATGATGTATTATCAAAATGACGTGTGATGAACCGCTTCCCAGAGAAGAAACTCTATGTTGAGGATATTGCATTAAACACACACATTCACATTATCAACAGTTTGGCAGAAAAATAATTATATTTAAAGTGCATTACTGCGTCTAAGATCCAGGTCTGATCGTCAGGAGGAGGAGGCAGAACTGCAGCTTTTAGGTTTTAAAGATCAAAGAGATTAACTTCAGATTCAAGACACATCTAAAATACAAATAGTTGTGTGTGACTTCATTTTGTTTTCAATTCATTCTTTTATAATTTTGTGCATTCACAGCAGTCGTTTTCTCAGAGGACTTCACCAACACAGATCAGAGAATCAAACCGTTCAAACACAAGAAATAAAACTGAAAAAGGTATTGGTCCATAAAGGGTTGATAAATGTCCATGAATTAGTAGTTTAGATATCTACACCGGTATGAGAACGGTCGGAACGGGGTCTTTCTGAGTGGAGTTTGCATGTTCTCCCCGTGCCTGCGTAGTTTTCCTCCAGGTACTCCGGTTTCCCCTACCACTAAAAACATGCACACTAGGTTAAATCCTCCAGCTCTGGTCCTGACCCAGAGCATCAACATCTGGAGATGGGTTCCCGGGCGCTGTTGCTACGGCGACGACTGCTCCTGACGTTAGCCTCAGGGCATCAGGGTCAAATGCAGAGGATTGAATTGCCCTACGGTTTATGTCGGTGTTACTGTGTTTCTATGTCTGTCTTATTTGTATTTTCAATGAAGCAGCTCTGACACATTTCCTACGGGACATAATAAATTAATCTTGAATCTTGAATCTCTGTGCAGATACAATATGTTTTAGTTTTTAGTGTTTACCAAACCCATGTGTCGACCACCGCCGTCTTTATCCATGGTTCAGTTCATTCTCTCTGTAACAACAGTATCATGTTTAACCTTTGATATTTCTTGTGCTTTAGTCTTTTCTCTGTAAACTCTGTATCAGTACGTTCTGTTTCAATCTGAGGGTTTTTACTGATTCAACCTGAAATGAATAAGACCTAAAAGATTTTACTTTCGCTGCCTCACATTATGACTATGACTGTCTTAAATGTTTGATTGTATATTTTACAATAATAATAATAATAATCACTGCAGATTCAGAACATTCTTACTCGGTTAAAACCTGTAAATATTACTAACTTTAGGTGTGTTTGCTCTAAATCTATAAAACCAGAGATATCTTCTTCTACTAATAAATTATTCATAGACAGTACATCATTGCACCAATTACAAATGGAATCTTGCATTTCTAGTTTGGAGGCGCTCAAAGCACAAACAAAGAAGAGACCAAGACACACAGAATGAAAGTCCTTTATTGTGTGACGGACACATAATGAGGGATATTGAACACATTGCATTGTGGGTAGCGGTTGAATCCAGGCTGTCAAATCAATGTCTTTATGACTGCATAGAAAACACATAACCAGGATGTGTTGGCTTTGCCGTGGAATTTACATGACCGTCTCCGTTATTGCCTTCTGCAAATTGCGGCCATCTTTCAGTTTCACTCCGGGTAACGCTGCGACGCCTGAGGACGTGACGAAGACGGCCGCGCTCTTCATCCCCTCTCCTGTTTGTGTGATTAAGACTGTCCTTTACCCCCGTCATGCAGCTGTCACTTCCTCGCGCCCTGTGTCCTCTGGCCGTGCCCTTACAGCTCTCCTTCTATCCTTCTCGCGCCATTATCTCGTCCCCGGTCGGCTCGCCACTGTGCGTCCGGCCTTTTGGCTCTGACAGCTTGTTATCTCCATGGTGACGGATGGTCGAGGCGCCACGGCTAACTACTGCCCAGGACGGAGCGCACACCTGGGGCACATCACCTCGCCTCCTCGCCTCTCCCGCTGCTTCTCTTATTCACTACTTTTGGTTTTGGGCGAATGCAGTTAGAAAGTTTAGATTAAGCTTGTGACGGACTTGACCTGCGAAGATTATCCAGATGATAGTCCTGAAGGCAGCGTTTGGGATGCACTAGATACTAGATAGTTTATTGACCCCCTCTAGGAGTAATGCAGGTGTCCAGCAGCAGAAACACGTCCATGCACACAGACAAATACATTATTCTGAAAGTGAATAACAATAGTAATAAGGTGGATTTTCTCAGGTTGATCTCTGCAGAGTCTGACTTGGTTTGGACCGTTTTCTCTGGTTCAGAAATGTTTAATACTTTATAAGCATTTTGTGTTGAGACGTCCATTCCTCTAAGGTTCAGACTGTGCTTCCTCTGCTCTGGTCTAGATCAGTCTCGAACCAAGAACACTGCAGTAACATTTACAGCACGGAGAAAAGCCAGAAAAATAACCACTGTAAAACACAAAACAACAACTGTTTCAGAGCCACTGAGGACTCGCAAATTCAACCTCTCGCTTCAAAAAAGAAAAATTGTGATTAATACAATATTTACAATAACGTTGTGTCATTGGAGACTTGCACATTACTCATGAAGCTTCAGGACACAGGGAGAACATGCAAACTCCAATCAGAAAGGGCCTATGCTGTCGGGAGTCAAGTCCAGAACCCTAACAGTTGCTAACCACTCTGCCACTGTGCAGTTGTAGATCTTTTAGAAGGTCCAAAGTAACATTTGACAAAAAACAAAGGGTAAGGAGTTCTGCGTGGTACAAGCGTGTGAAGTTATTAAAAAGACCAGCTGCTCAATTGGAAGTTTAACTTAGTAACAGAAAATAGAGTTTTGACTTTCCAGGTAAAAGGCAAATGACTCGTGGTCCGTAGTTCAGAGAGTTTGTATGGCCTTTATTTTCTCATGGCTGTAATTTAAAATACGCACCAACGTGTTTCAGCCGAGCTTGGCCTTCTTCAGGGTGCACATGGTGATGTATACAGGGAGGGGCTTCATTAGACCCCTATAAACATGCACTCATGCACGCATATTTACAATCACACATTCACTGGAGGTGTAGAGTATCTGTAGAACACTTAATAAAGCAGATGACCTGGAGGGCACAGGCTTCCTACTGTACACACTGCTCCACAAATACAAACATCATCTCATGAAGCATCTTATTCAGGCTGACAATCCAAGATGTGTCACGCTGCAGCAGGTGGGTGGATCTTTTTGATCTATTTGCCTTTACCTGGAAAGTCAAAACTCTGCCCTAACCCTGCTCTTGAATCCAGGAGGCTACAAACCGACCTAGCCTCCTACACACATGCCCTTCATCTATCACTTTCGCAGTCCTCTATCAAGTCCTCCTAAAGCCTTTACCTGTGACCAATATTCAGAGTCCACTGCTTTAACTTTAACTTTAAAACCCTGAATTATATTATGAATACACTATGGCCATAAAAAGACCCGGCAGTTTATTGGGTCTGCTCCTCATGTACGTTTTAATAATGCAGTGTCTGTTGTGTCTTTGCGGAGTTTTGTGAAACAAGACAGATCGCCATGGTAACGCTGGTCTCTTTGATGTCCCATGTGCAGTTCCCTCTCACTGTTATGTCGCTTTTGAGATAATAATGAATTTTTACTGAGAATCTTCTTCCAAACATATCTGGAGCTATACTTTGTCTATTTTAATAATTCATGCTACTTTTTTGCGCATATATATTACCAAACCTGAATCTGGACTAATGCTGCTTTCATCCTTTTCTGTCTTTACTCATCCAACTCCCTGATTCTTGTGTGGTTGAGTTAAATGCACCAAAACTGAAAAACATGCACGTAAGAAAGTAATGTTTATTCATACAGCGCATCTTTTCAGACCATGGTGCTTCAAAGTGCTTCAAAATGTTCAGAAATCAGATATTTTTTCCATTCTCTCCACACAAAGCGAGACACCGAACACACCGGTCCATCAAAGCCTCTGACCAAACACCATCCCTTCACTCACTCATTACATTCAGATCTATTGTACATGTTTTTAATAGTAGGGGAAACCGGAGCACCCGGAGGTAACCTACGCGGACACAGGGAGAACTTGTTAACTCCACTCAGAAAGGCCCTGTTCTAAACGGGATTCGAACCAGGCAGAACATGCTGGAGGCGGGATTTGGGAATTCGTTAGTATTGCAATATTTGGGCCATATTTCGGTATTATTGGGTTTTTTAACATATAGCAATACAATAAGTAAGTACCTCATCTTTATTTTAGCGCCTTTCGCAGACCAGAGTCACAAAGCGTTTTACATTTGTCTCTCTCCACACGAAGATGGGAGCGGCGTCACCTAAAGGGGGCGCATGCCAGAACTATTGTACATGTCTTTAGTGGTATAGGAAACCGGAGCACCTGGAGGAAACCTACGCAGACACAGGGAGAACATGCAAACTCCACTCAGAAAGGCTTGGAGGTGGAAACAAACCCTTGCTCTTAAGGCGCTAACCACTGCGCCACGTGCCGCCCAAGTATTGCGATTTGATTCTCCGATATGATTTATGTCCCTCATATTATTCAAAGAAATTACATTTAAAACTCTTCAGAGACATAATTTCTCTCACAAAGAGACACTTTATTGATCCCTGTTGGAGAAATGCAGGTATCCAGTAGCAACAGAAACACATCCATCCACACACGAAAAACAAATGAATCGATCATTCTAAAAAGCTAACAATAGTAATAAGTAAACAAGTGAAAAAGATCATTATGTCGTTAAATATTGCTTTTCTCTTCTCACTGAATAGATTGGATTGTTTAGAACTCACCTTTTCCAAGTGGTTTCAGATCTGTGCTGAACACAGAGAGGAACGCGGCGCTGTTCGGACGAGCGTTGGTGGGTGTGGCGCTGTTTGGACAAGCGTTGGTGGGTGTGGCGCTGTTTTATGAGCGTTGGTAGGTGTGGCGCTGTTTTATGAGCGTTGGTGGGTGTGGCGCTGTTTGTATGAGCGTTGGTGGGTGTGGCGCTGTTTTTACGAGCGTTGGTGGGTGCGGCGCTTTTTGGACAAGCGTTGGTGGGTGTGGCGCTGTTCGGACGAGCGTTGGTGGGTGTGGCGCTGTTTGGACCAGCGTTGGTGGGTGCGGCGCTGTTTGTATAAGCGTTGGTGGGTGTAGCGCTGTTTGGACGAGCGTTGGTGGATGTGGCGCTGTTTGGACGAGCGTTGGTGGGTGTGGCGCTGTTTGTATAAGCGTTGGTGGGTGTAGCGCTGTTTGTATGAGCGTTGGTGGATGTGGCGCTGTTTGGACGAGCGTTGGTGGGTGTAGCGCTGTTTGGACGAGCGTTGGTGGGTGTAGCGCTGTTTGTATAAGCGTTGGTGGATGTGGCGCTGTTTGGACGAGCGTTGGTGGATGTGGCGCTGTTTGGACGAGCGTTGGTGGGTGTGGCGCTGTTTGGACGAGCGTTGGTGGGTGTGGCGCTGTTTGGACGAGCGTTGGTGGGTGTAGCGCTGTTTGGACGAGCGTTGGTGGGTGTAGCGCTGTTTGTATAAGCGTTGGTGGATGTGGCGCTGTTTGGACGAGCGTTGGTGGATGTGGCGCTGTTTGGACGAGCGTTGGTGGGTGTAGCGCTGTTTGGACGAGCGTTGGTGGGTGTAGCGCTGTTTGTATAAGCGTTGGTGGGTGTGTAGCGCTGTTTGTATAAGCGTTGGTGGATGTGGCGCTGTTTGGACGAGCGTTGGTGGGTGTAGCGCTGTTTGTATAAGCGTTGGTGGATGTGGCGCTGCTGGACGAGCGTTGGTGGGTGTGGCGCTGTTTGGACGAGCGTTGGTGGGTGTAGCGCTGTTTGGACGAGCGTTGGTGGGTGTAGCGCTGTTTGGACGAGCGTTGGTGGGTGTGGCGCTGTTTGTATGAGCGTTGGTGGGTGTGTGCGCTGTTCGGACGAGCGTTGGTGGGTGTGGCGCTGTTTGTATGAGCGTTGGTGGGTGTGGCGCTGTTTGTATGAGCGTTGGTGGGTGTGGCGCTGTTTGTATGAGCGTTGGTGGGTGTGGCGCTGTTCGGACGAGCGTTGGTGGGTGTGGCGCTGTTTGGACGAGCGTTGGTGGGTGTAGCGCTGTTTGGACGAGCGTTGGTGGGTGTGGCGCTGTTTGGACCAGCGTTGGTGGGTGTGGCGCTGTTCGGACGAGCGTTGGTGGATGTGGCGCTGTTTGGACGAGCGTTGGTGGGTGCGGCGCTGTTTGGACCAGCGTTGGTGGGTGCGGCGCTGTTCGGACCAGCGTTGGTGGGTGTGGCGCTGTTAGGACGAGCGTTGGTGGGTGTGGCGCTGTTTGGACGAGCGTTGGTGGGTGTAGCGCTGTTTGTATGAGCGTTGGTGGGTGCGGCGCTGTTTGTATGAGCGTTGGTGGGTGTGGCGCTGTTCGGACGAGCGTTGGTGGGTGTGGCGCTGTTTGGACCAGCGTTGGTGGGTGTGGCGCTGTTCGGACGAGCGTTGGTGGGTGTGGCGCTGTTTGGACGAGCGTTGGTGGGTGCGGCGCTGTTTGGACCAGCGTTGGTGGGTGCGGCGCTGTTCGGACCAGCGTTGGTGGGTGTGGCGCTGTTCGGACGAGCGTTGGTGGGTGTGTCATGTTTCGCCTCTAAAGAAAAGAATGTGTCCTTCACCCATTCGGGGACGTTATGTAATAAATAAAGTCCTTAATCAAGGAGTATGTGGCCCACGGAATTGATTAAAGTAACCTATCCCCCACTCTATTTTTCTCTTCTATTTTTTTTTTCCTCTGACAATAGGGTTTGTCAAGCTACTCTAAACTTTAGAATAGTCTAAATTTGTGCATACGTCAATGATCAAATCCATCCCCAAATGAGTGCTTGTGTTTGTGTTGTCCTGACTTCTGGACATGTGTAGATGTGTGTTTGAGTCATGTTTTGTTTACGATACCCGGACCATGGTCTGCCTCGTCCAGATCGTCCGTGGGACCCTCCCAGACCCTCGTCCTCCAGTCAGTCAGTCCCATATCGTTCATGCTGGTTCCTGTGGAACTGTCCGGAAACATGGTGGGCCTGGGGCCATTTTGTCAGAACCAGTTGTTGCTTTGTCTCTGTCCACTCTTTGACTGCTGCTGTGGGCGGGGCTTCCCTTGTCAGTGGGAAAGTTTCTTGTGAACTGCCCTATCTCTTCACAGGGATAGAAGCCTGTGGTCCTCTCTTCACAGGGATAGAAGCCTGTGGTCCTCTCTTCACAGGGATAGAAGCCTGTGGTCCTCTCTTCACAGGGATAGAAGCCTGTGGTCCTCTCTCTACACAGGGATAGAAGCCTGTGGTCCTCTCTCTACACAGGGATAGAAGCCTGTGGTCCTCTCTCTTCACAGGGATAGAAGCCTGTGGTCCTCTCTTCACAGGGATAGAAGCCTGTGGTCCTCTCTTCACAGGGATAGAAGCCTGTGGTCCTCTCTTCACAGGGATAGAAGCCTGTGGTCCTCTCTCTACACAGGGATAGAAGCCTGTGGTCCTCTCTCTACACAGGGATAGAAGCCTGTGGTCCTCTCTCTACACAGGGATAGAAGCTTGTGGTCCTCTCTTCACAGGGATAGAAGCCTGTGGTCCTCTCTCTACACAGGGATAGAAGCCTGTGGTCCTCTCTCTACACAGGGATAGAAGCCTGTGGTCCTCTCTCTTCACAGGGATAGAAGCCTGTGGTCCTCTCTTCACAGGGATAGAAGCCTGTGGTCCTCTCTCTTCACAGGGATAGAAGCCTGTGGTCCTCTCTCTACACAGGGATAGAAGCCTGTGGTCCTCTCTCTTCACAGGGATAGAAGCCTGTGGTCCTCTCTCTTCACAGGGATAGAAGCCTGTGGTCCTCTCTCTTCACAGGGATAGAAGCCTGTGGTCCTCTCTCTACACAGGGATAGAAGCCTGTGGTCCTCTCTCTTCACAGGGATAGAAGCCTGTGGTCCTCTCTCTTCACAGGGATAGAAGCCTGTGGTCCTCTCTCTTCACAGGGATAGAAGCCTGTGGTCCTCTCTCTTCACAGGGATAGAAGCCTGTGGTCCTCTCTCTTCACAGGGATAGAAGCCTGTGGTCCTCTCTCTACACAGGGATAGAAGCCTGTGGTCCTCTCTCTTCACAGGGATAGAAGCCTGTGGTCCTCTCTCTTCACAGGGATAGAAGCCTGTGGTCCTCTCTCTTCACAGGGATAGAAGCCTGTGGTCCTCTCTCTTCACAGGGATAGAAGCCTGTGGTCCCACCTGTATCAGGGCGGGTGATGGGCGGAGGGGGGCCGGGGACAGAGTTCTTGGCATGACTGGTTTGGGCACAGGGGGCCGGACTTGTCCATGTTGGGCTTTGTGGGTAACTGACGAGGGTTCTGGTTCAGGAAGGGGTTTGTCTTACCCTCCATATCATTGTCCTCCATCAGAGTCTGAGGTTTGGGGACGTTTAGTCACACGTCCAGGGTCTAGGTCGGGGTCCACACATCTGACCGGCTCAGAAGCATCCACGATCCCAGGGTTATCTATGTGAAAATAGAAAAAAACTTGCCCTTTGATAGATTGCGTGTGCGTGTTTGCGTGCATGTGTGTGTGTGTGTGTGTGTATGTCGTCGCGCCTATACGGCTCTTGATAGAGTATTCAGGTGGTTCGATTGGGTCTCTTACATACATTCATGCTCTCATTCTGACTTTCCATTCGCTCTCCACACAGACTTGTATTTCTTTGTTTATCAGTCACTCTCACAGTCATTCTCGGTCACTCCAGTTCAAGTCTTATCACTCCTGGCTCGCTTCACACATCTCATGTCACTTTCATACCAGTCTGTGTCGCCCAGGACTGTACTGGTTCTGGGCTCTGTATGTGTTTGTAATGTGTGTATGGTTACATTTCCCCCAATGTAATTAACCAACTAATTAGTTTAAATCAACTACTCTTATTTTCTTTTCTTTTACTCCCTCTACTTCATCCGTTCACATACTCAACCACTCAACCACTCAAACTTGACATGTTTTGTCAAGAATTTGTACACAGTACGCCAGACTCATTATTACATACGTCAGAATCTATTTGGTAGGTTTCATTTGCTAATTTTCTAAATGTTTGTAGTTTATAGACTTGATTTAAGCTTGAAGACCTACTGTCCGGGAAACCCTATTTTTCCAGACCATACATTTGAACATTCAAGGGCCGTTGGCCTATATTTTCCGGCCATTGCCTTGGTCACCGCGGTTTGTGGGACCTCGTCCCTGTCAGCAGACAATGATCCCTGATTTTGACCCATCTTGGCCCACTATGGCTGTCCCTATTCTCCTTACTACCATCCATCCATCCATTTTCTACCCTTTAATCCATTTCTGGGTCAGGGGGGTGGCAGTCAGAGATGCCACCCAAGTCTCATAGCACCAGCCCCTCACTGACCCTCTGCAGGTGGTGAGTCCACAGGAGGACGGCTGCTCTCTGACTGTGAGCATAGCCTTGATCTTTCAGTGGGGGCTTTGGGCAAAGTGGGGTTAAGTGTCTTGCCCAAGGACACAACGACAGCAGTCATCAGTGGGAGTCGGTGGAGAAGGTGTAGAGGTGGGAATTGAACCCACGACCTTCTGGCCTTAAGGCCAATGCTCTACCAACTGAGCTACTGTCGCCCCGACAGCCAGGAACCATCTCTTAAAACTCACTAGTCAAAGTCAAGCTAGTTAATACAACATTAACTCTTCTGTAAACAGGAAACCAGTGACTCTGAGAACAGGACAGCCAAGGCCTCTCGCTGGGTAAAAATGGGGCTTTTAGTTTTGCGCGGAGAGATAAAATACGGGGTTCTTTTGACAGTTTGAAAGAATACAGCTCTTACCACACTGGTTGTTTACGTTTGTCCGTTTGATAACCATGCGCTGGACGGCATCGCCTCGGCCCGGCGCCAGGAATCTTCTGTAGCTCAAACATGCGAGGAGAAGACCATGCCAGAGGCTGGGGAGGCCACCCTTCCTGGGCCGGGTCCGCGGCGAAGCCCCTCCAGACGATGGGACTGTTCGTGACGCCAAATTGTTGTGGAATTTCTAAGGAGTGAAATACACAATATTAAATATAAAATAAACAACAAGAGCTGTAATTCAAATCAAAGTGTGGTTTATTATCTCAGTAAATGTGACATATACAAGAAATACAACCGTGTAACCGCGTGGCAGGTCCCGGGTAGATCTGCTGAATAGTGCTCATTCTCTCTCACATTTATAGGATAAAACAAACAGAAGAGTCTATCTATGGCGTCTCTGAGTCCGAGATTAAGAGGCAGCTATGGCCCAAACCCCCCTCTCTTCTGACGTCTTACTCTGATAGACTCTGATATTACTCTGACATTAGGAAGAATTGTCAGTATGACCGGTGAGCCTGCTCTCCTTGCCCCTGGTATCAATCTAGTATCTGCCTCCACCCCGTTCATTGGCCTCGCGTCCCTACAGAACAACAGTTTAGTTAGTTTCAACAGATTTACTAGCTTTGAACTTTGTCCCAGATATTCCATTTCATCATTAGATTCTGTCACGTGGGTAAAAAACAAATGAGGCCCAAAAGGCAAAAACTGCAAAATGATGGATTTAATGAAAGAAATACAAATCAAAACCTACCAAAAACACAGGGAACGGACAGAACTAAAACAGACTAGGAAAGACAATGACGGAACAGGGAGTGAAGGAACACACAGGGCTAAATACAAGACTAACGAGACACAGGTGAGACAGATGAGGGCAGGGCAGGTAATCAGACAACAGGAAGTACAACCAAAGAAGACACAGGGATAACACATTTCAAAATAAAACAGGAAATAAACTTAAACCATGACAGATTCATTCTTAAGTTAAATTGATTTATAATCCCAGTAAGATTTCTATAACAGAACCAATAGTTTTGTTCCATCCAATCTTACAAACTCTGTCTTTGTTCTTTTGCCTCACACCAAAAGTAACAAAGTGTCCTTTGTGTTGATGGGCCGTGGCGGGACTTTGATGGGCCGTGGCGGGACTTTGATGGGCCGTGGTGGATCTGAGTTCCTCGGGTCTTGACAGATGTTTTATTAACGCGACGTTGCCAAAGTCTTTTCTTTAATTCAATCCGACAAGGACGTCTTTTATGTTCCGCTCGTTCTGCCGTCGCTTTCTTGTCATTCTTGGTTCCGTTGTCGTTGTCATGTCGTGCGATGTTAAGAAGGCCTTTCTGGTTATAATGAGCTGAGTGACAATGGTATTATTATTTGTTCAGGGAAAAGCCTTATTTTACAAAGAATCCACCAAGTTTCCCCAAGTTCATAGAGTCATCTGAGTCACTTCCGGATGCTTCCAGAACTATTGTGTCTTTAGTGGGAGGAGAAACCCAGAAAAAAAACTAAGCAGACATAGGGAGAACATGCAAACTCCACATAGAAAGCTCTGGGGATCGAACCCCTGTGTAATGATTCATACACAATAAAAGGATTTAGAGAAGAGCGGGTCGTGCACCGAGAGTCGGAGGTGGGTATTGAACCCAGCCTAATGGGCGCATCACTCATTCAAACATGATGAATTTCAGCGTTCCACAACATTAGTTTTATCTCTGTATTGTTCTTTATTGATCATTTTGAGGTTATAGCTGGTCTTTTTCATGGTTTAGAGCCATATAGCTGGGACAGTGCTTCTCAATTATTTTCAGGCCGCTCTAAGGAAGAAGAAAGCGTTCTGCTCACATCTCTAGATTAAGTTAGAAAATAAACTCTCAGCCCAAAACAAAGAGAGAGACTTACAGGGATCTTTCTTAAAGTAGAAATATGTAAGATTATAATGTCAAGCAATCATTAAAGGGCCCTAATCTGTCATTATTAAAGGGCCCTAATCTGTCGTCATTAAAGGGCCCTAATCTGTCATCATTAAAGGGCCCTAATCTGTCATCATTAAAGGGAACTAATCTGTCCTCATTAATGGGCCCTAATCTGTCATCATTAAAGGGCCCTAATCTGTCATCATTAAAGGGCCCTAATCTGTCGTCATTAAAGGGTCCTAATCTGTCATCATTAAAGGGCCCTAATCTGTCGTCATTAAAGGGTCCTAATCTGTCATCATTAAAGGGCCCTAATCTGTCATCATTAAAGGGCCCTAATCTGTCATCATTAAAGGGCCCTAATCTGTCATCATTAAAGGGCCCTAATCTGTCATCATTAAAGAGCCCTAATCTGTCATCATTAAAGGGCCCTAATCTGTCGTCATTAAAGGGTCCTAATCTGTCATCATTAAAGAGCCCTAATCTGTCATCATTAAAGGGCCCTAATCTGTCGTCATTAAAGGGTCCTAATCTGTCATCATTAAAGGGCCCTAATCTGTCATCATTAAAGGGCCCTAATCTGTCATCATTAAAGGGCCCTAATCTGTCATCATTAAAGGGCCCTAATCTGTCATCATTAAAGGGTCCTAATCTGTCAAAAGGCATCACTAAAACATGCTCTTTTCCAATACTTATTTAACTGATAACAGTAGTACGGAGATACTGTATTTGAATTTCTAAATTAGTTTTCCAGCCCCTATATCACAGTTTCACCAATCAGAACGTCTGTGATCCGGGCGCCAGAACTCATCAAGTTAATCTCACTTATGTGGCCACAGAACTAAAAAAGGTCTAGAGATGATTCTCAAATCACTAATGGCAAAACTAAGAATAAGGAAGGATAAAGGTTTCTATCAGGGATGCAATGGAGAGAAAGGTGTTGGTTTTAGTTTTGTTGTTGTTGTATAGACAAAACTCTTGTCTATTCAGTTATTATTGTCCCACTGGATTCATCTGCATATCTGGCAACCTGAGTCAGAGAGAGCGCAGCACCACTTTTGGCCAGATTTGTACATAATTCTCCTTTAAAACTATGCAAAATATGTAGTTTTTTAAGACCCTAACTGGGTAAAAAGCCCATAACTGTCGTGGTGTGGATTTTTTTATTTTATTTTGTTTTTACTTCTGTACCTGTCTCTCTGTACCTGTGTCTCACTGTACCTGTGTCTCTCTGTACCTGTGTCTCTCTGTACCTGTGTCTCTCTGTACTCTGTCTACCTGTGTCTCTCTGTACCTGTGTCTCTCTGTACCTGTGTCTCTGTACCTGTGTCTCTCTGTACCTGTGTCTCTCTGTACCTGTGTCTCTCTGTACCTGTGTCTCTCTGTACCTGTGTCTCTGTACCTGTGTCTCTGTACCTGTGTCTCTGTACCTGTGTCTCTCTGTACCTGTGTCTCTCTGTACCTGTGTCTCTGTACCTGTGTCTCTCTGTACCTGTGTCTCTCTGTACCTGTGTGTCTCTGTACCTGTGTCTCTGTACCTGTGTCTCTGTACCTGTGTCTCTCTGTACCTGTGTCTCTCTGTACCTGTGTCTCTGTACCTGTGTCTCTGTACCTGTGTCTCTGTACCTGTGTCTCTGTACCTGTGTCTCTCTGTACCTGTGTCTCTCTGTACCTGTGTCTCTCTGTACCTGTGTCTCTCTGTACCTGTGTCTCTCTGTACCTGTGTCTCTCTGTACCTGTAACCCGTTTTCCGTTTGGATGTTGAAGTTGTTTGTACCTTGGACTTGTATTCCTGCATTTTGGGTCCTTCCATCGACCTATAACATGCATAATGGATGGGAGGGTAAATGTAGGTACCCCAGCTTTAATGCAGTAAGAGCTGGGCCTCAGGAGGACCATCCAGGCCTCAGGAGGACCATCCAGGCCTCAGGAGGACCATCCAGGCCTCAGGAGGACCATCCAGGCCTCAGGAGGACTATCCAGGCCTCAGGAGGACCATCCAGGCCTCAGGAGGACCATCCAGGCCTCAGGAGGACTATCCAGGCCTCAGGAGGACCATCCAGGCCTCAGGAGGACCATCCAGGCCTCAGGAGGACCATCCAGGCCTCAGGAGGACTATCCAGGCCTCAAGAGGACCATCCAGGCCTCAGGAGGACCATCCAGGCCTCAGGAGGACCATCCAGGCCTCAGGAGGACTTTCCAGGCCTCAGGAGGACCATCCAGGCCTCAGGAGGACTATCCAGGCCTCAGGAGGACCATCCAGGCCTCAGGAGGACCATCCAGGCCTCAGGAGGACTATCCAGGCCTCAGGAGGACCATCCAGGCCTCAGGAGGACCATCCAGGCCTCAGGAGGACCATCCAGGCCTCAGGAGGACTATCCAGGCCTCAGGAGGACCATCCAGGCCTCAGGAGGACCATCCAGGCCTCAGGAGGACCATCCAGGCCTCAGGAGGACTATCCAGGCCTCAGGAGGACCATCCAGGCCTCAGGAGGACCATCCAGGCCTCAGGAGGACTATCCAGGCCTCAGGAGGACCATCCAGGCCTCAGGAGGACTATCCAGGCCTCAGGAGGACCATCCAGGCCTCAGGAGGACTATCCAGGCCTCAGGAGGACCATCCAGGCCTCAGGAGGACTATCCAGGCCTCAGTAGGACCATCCAGGCCTCAGGAGGACCATCCAGGCCTCAGGAGGACCATCCAGGCCTCAGGAGGACCATCCAGGCCTCAGGAGGACTATCCAGGCCTCAGAAGGACCATCCAGGCCTCAGGAGGACCATCCAGGCCTCAGTAGGACCATCCAGGCCTCAGGAGGACCATCCAGGCCTCAGGAGGACCATCCAGGCCTCAGGAGGACCATCCAGGCCTCAGGAGGACTGTCCAGGCCTCAGGAGGACCATCCAGGCCTCAGGAGGACTATCCAGGCCTCAGGAGGACCGTCCAGGCCTCAGGAGGACTGTCCAGGCCTCAGGAGGACCGTCCAGGCCTCAGGAGGACTATCCAGGCCTCAGGAGGACCATCCAGGCCTCAGGAGGACTATCCAGGCCTCAGGAGGACCATCCAGGCCTCAGGAGGACCATCCAGGCCTCAAGAGGACTATCCAGGCCTCAGGAGGACCATCCAGGCCTCAGGAGGACCATCCAGGCCTCAGGAGGACTATCCAGGCCTCAGGAGGACTATCCAGGCCTCAGTAGGACCATCCAGGCCTCAGGAGGACCATCCAGGCCTCAGGAGGACCATCCAGGCCTCAGGAGGACTTTCCAGGCCTCAGGAGGACCATCCAGGCCTCAGGAGGACCATCCAGGCCTCAGAAGGACCATCCAGGCCTCAGGAGGACTATCCAGGCCTCAGGAGGACCATCCAGGCCTCAGGAGGACCATCCAGGCCTCAGGAGGACCATCCAGGCCTCAGGAGGACTATCCAGGCCTCAGGAGGACCATCCAGGCCTCAGGAGGACTATCCAGGCCTCAGGAGGACCATCCAGGCCTCAGGAGGACTATCCAGGCCTCAGGAGGACCATCCAGGCCTCAGGAGGACTTTCCAGGCCTCAGGAGGACTATCCAGGCCTCAGGAGGACCATCCAGGCCTCAGGAGGACCATCCAGGCCTCAGTAGGACTATCCAGGCCTCAGGAGGACCATCCAGGCCTCAGGAGGACTATCCAGGCCTCAGGAGGACCATCCAGGCCTCAGGAGGACTATCCAGGCCTCAGGAGGACCATCCAGGCCTCAGGAGGACTATCCAGGCCTCAGGAGGACTATCCAGGCCTCAGTAGGACCATCCAGGCCTCAGGAGGACCATCCAGGCCTCAGGAGGACTATCCAGGCCTCAGGAGGACTATCCAGGCCTCAGTAGGACCATCCAGGCCTCAGGAGGACCATCCAGGCCTCAGGAGGACCATCCAGGCCTCAGGAGGACCATCCAGGCCTCAGGAGGACCATCCAGGCCTCAGGAGGACCATCCAGGCCTCAGTAGGACCATCCAGGCCTCAGGAGGACCATCCAGGCCTCAGGAGGACCATCCAGGCCTCAGGAGGACCATCCAGGCCTCAGGAGGACCATCCAGGCCTCAGGAGGACCATCCAGGCCTCAGGAGGACCATCCAGGCCTGCTGCTGTTGCATACAGCCTTGATAATCGCACCTATGGCAGTCCGCCTCTGCTTCATCTCTGTCCACTTTGACGAGTTTCTTCTGCAGTGTTTGAGTGACACAGAGACAGAGTTCAGATCGAGCCGCCTTTGCCCCGGGGTCAGACCGGAGCCAAGACAGGATATCTCTCCTTCTCGTACGTACATTAAAAACGGCGTGTTCCCCGCGGCTGCACGCATCCCCCCGACCCTGACCCCGTGCGGCGTTCTCCTCTCGGTGCATGGGCCTTGTTAGCACAGAGGTCGGAGCATATGGTCCAGACGTCGCACGGACACATCTGCATCAATAATGTGGAACTGTGTTGTGATAATCCGAGGTGGGGAGTCACACATGTACTCTTTCTGAGTAACTGTAATCCATTACAGTTACTACTTTAAAGTCTAGTATGTAGAATACAGATACTTTCTGAAAATCATGGGAACACATACTTTTACGGTTTTGAGGTTAAAAAAGTAAAACATTGCGTATTCTTAAAGTGAAAATTCTATTTTTTCTTGTTGCTAAATGCAGCTGTTAAAGCACTTTGACTTGTCTCACAGAACTAATAAGAGCATGTTTTATTTATTTAAACATTTAATGATAAACATTAATTCACAATAAATATAAATAATACAAAAAATAATCATTAAGTATTCTAAGTAGTTTTTCCAAAGTAACAGAATATTATAAAAATAAAAGTTTAGGTCATGCAGTATTCTTTAATGGAATACACTTTCAAACTATCACAGTGACACTGTGATAGTTTACTTTTTACTTTAAAGTCACATATTAGTCTTTTAACGATGATCCTCACATCCTTACAGGGCTATCGGCCTTCATACACCTGCCCACAGTAGTGTTTTCATTGACTCACTTGAGCTTGAGTTAGAGAGTGAACTTTCTCTTTCACCCTGGAGAGGCAGAAGCTCACCTCCAGGGGGCGCTCAGCAGTGATTGACAGGAGAGAAAACAAAAAGGACAGGCCCATGATCGGACCTGAGCCTCTCCTGAGTCCCGTGTGAACCGCAGTCATAAAGTATCAACACAGTCTGTTCACGGCACTTCCTACTGTTGTTTTCCCCGCTGCTGTCACTGTCTGAAAGTGTTAGCGCCATGTCAACCCAGAGAACACGTGTTTTCGGTGTAAATATGTGACGACGCTGTTTGGCCCAAAGTCAAAGCAACGCTGAGAATGTGGCTGCACTTTGTTCACAGTGATCTGTCTCTGAAATCCACCAAACACGAACCAAAGACTGCTCCAGAACTGCACCTACCAAGAAACTGGACTTCCTCTGCGGCGGAGCTTCAAACCTGGAGTTATTCCCACAATGAAAGACGCTAACGTAAAGATACAGAGAATAGATCTGTAAGTACAGGATAAAGCCGTCTGTGTGGAGCGGATCCCTCTCTCAATGTGGATCTCCTCGAGGTTTCTCATTTTCTCCCACTGGGTTTTAGAGCTTTTCCTTGCCGACGCAGGAGGGTCTGTTGGAGAGTTGGTGTCTAACAAGAAATGATGATCCAGGACACTTTAACATTTATCACATGTATGACATTCATCGACACTCATGGACATTGGTCTCTCTATGGACCAATTCATATGTGTATATTTTATGTTTTAACTGTTGATTCTCTGACCTGTGTTGGTGATTTCAATGGTTTTGTTAAGTCTCTGAGATGATGCTGTTGTGACTTAGGGCTATACAAGGATACATTGTTTATTATTGTATTGTATTGTAAGTGCAGTGCTCCTAACTCGGTACACTACTGTTAACTAAAGGGTCCAAAGGTTGATAACGTAGGGCTCTGTGACGGATCGCCATTGTTGGAAAAAGTTCATTCTCAGCTCTGAAATGACTATGTATGAGTGTCTATGTGTTTACCTCCAAGTCAGCGTGAGGCTACGTCGGCGTTCGGGTGGAGGGAGAAGGGCTCACAGGCGAAGGAGCAGAGATTCACTCGTTTACCTCTATGTAAGAAATGGTTACTGCTAATTTAAAGAACAACTCAAAACCAGTGCCCAGCCTTAATCCGCCCTCATGAACAAGTCTCTCCAGGGGACAAGAAGGGGGGGCTTAGAGTTGGGCGTGGTCTGGGCTGTGATTGACAGCTCGCTTGTCAATCACGGCTCACACAAAAAAGTCAGACAGTTGTCATTGCAGCTTAAAGCAACAGTTTACACACCAGAAAGTCTCATTCTCCCTTGTTTACACACTAAGATCATTGTAGAGCTACACACCTGAACCTAAGACACAGAATTATCTCAGCAGCAGGAGCTGTCAACTGATGTAATTCAATTTTAAACCACTAGATGTCGCCAGAATACTCCAACCTGCTGCTGGGGCGTGTGTGAGACTTGGCTGCTTTTATACGACAGGCTCAAAGTGACGTCACACATCACTCCAGAGCCAACGAAGAGTCCAGGCACCAACTTCAAATGTAGTTACACCAAACATGTAGAGAGGGCGCCACACAGACAGTTTTAGGCTCAAAAGTGAGATGTTAATAATAATAATAATACATTTTATTTATAATGCACTTTACATTTCAGGGAAACCTCAGAGTGCTACAAAAACAGGGAACATCCCCAAGATACACAACATAAAAACAATACATCAAATATAACATCAAGAAAACATAAAAACATAACTACTGTACATATCTAGAAGGCCTGTTTGAATAGAAATGTCTTTAGGCCTTTCTTAAAAGCGTCCACACTTTGCAATTTTATCTAATTTGCACTGAAATGTCAACAACAACAAAAATGACCAGGACATGTACTTTATTAAAACATATTTATGCAGTTTTTGAGTTAAAAAAGTTGGTATTTTGTTGTCCTTAAAGATTTGAGTGTTGTATGGTGTATTATCACACATGAGCTTAAGGTGGACTGTAAAACATGAAGAAGAGTGACATATGGGACTTTAAAGTGCAACACAATGCTCTTTCTAACAACACTAAAAAAGTACTTTGTCCAATCTCTTTCTCCCGGACTGTTTTATTTATTATTTCCACATCCACCGTACGGACCAACCCCAGCGCAACAACATGCAACTTCCACCGTCTTTAATTAGCCACAAGTTGACGCAGCGTCGCACATGAACTTTTGTCCTCTCCCTGGGGTCCCAACTCTTCTTTTACAGCAGCTGCAGACATTAGCGACGACAAAACCACCTTAACACATACATGAAACTTACCAGAAGGCGCCCTCCCCCTCCCCCCCGCATACACATACACCCAATCATACTCTAAACCCCAATGCCCATTTCCAGTGCTTTCCATTTCTCCACCCTCTTCTTCTTCTTCACTTCTTCCCCTTGTTCTGTTCCCAGTCCCCGAGGTCTAGTCCAAACTCCATTAGCTTTCTGCGGCGCGGGTGGGGGTAGGCAAGCGTGCACATGAAGGGGTTTAAAGAGGACGTTAATGACTGAACAGAAGTAGATGCAGTCAACATTTCTGCGTACGTCCTACTGTGTGATCCGCCTGGCGAGTACACTGCTTGGCATGGGCCCGCTAGCTTCACAGGAGGCGGCTAAATTAAAGATAAAACGGTAAATGACGGAGAAGAAAAAAAAGGCGGGATTCGAGCGACGACGCTGCAGCAGTAACCTACATAGTGCTTCTTTAAGGACGATGGGGAAGTTGGCGATATGAAATACCGATCAGCTGGTTGGTTTGTAAACATTGCGGGTAAGCAGGGCACAGTGGAACGCTTTATCACAGGGAGAATATGCAAAGGCGATAACGAGGGAGAATCACGAGGAGATTGTTTATAGCCTCAGTTCACGTGTCCATGTTCCAGGCAGCATTTATGACATGAAACAGTTCAAAAACACATTTACTGAGGTGTCAAAGTCAAGAAGCCTCTGCAGTGTCTTTCTCGGTAATAACTTGTCGGTGGTGGTTTCTTGTTGGCAGAAGAACATGATTGTCTTGAGGCACATAAGCAAAATACGTGAACACATTTCATCCACCGTTTCATCCGGACTATAAGCCGCACATGATTATTAACCACAACCCTCCCCTTGTTGTAATGTTGCAAATGTAGCTCAAAACCTACTTCTTATGACTGTACGAAGTGAGTCAGCGGCTGTTCTTGGTCTTTCAGTGACAGCAGAAAGGAAGAGTGAGTTCTAACACACAACAACACACACTTCAGAATGTCGGTAGTTTTGTTTCCAGCAGTGGAAACATGGTAGAGTCACTCACAGATGGATGCCACTGATGAAGGAGGTTGTGTTCGTCTGATCATGACCCGCACTGAAAAACAACATGGCAGTTTATTTTTAACACTTCAGAATCTTATTAGAGATTAAAGTCTGAGCAGTGAGTTTTTATGCTCTGTTTTAAGTGTTTGTTCTTATTTCCAGACAACTTTTCCTGTTTGGATAAAATAAGTTTGTGATGCTATATTTTAAGAAAGCAATTCTCAAAAATGTTTAAGAATTAAGTAAATAATATTTGAGGCGTGTGTTTTTATCCTAGAATCAATTCATTTGGGGCTAGTTTTATTTTCTTATTTTCAGAAATCTTGTCGAGTCATACTTTTTGTTGGCAGATATTTTACTTATTTTCATATATGAAGAGTTTTTTTGGATACACAGAGTACAACCATTACTCCACCCATTACTCCACCCATTACACCGCCCAAAAGCACTGCTTTTACAACCCCATAAACTCCACCGAGGACTCGAACCTTTTCCAAATCTACATCCTCGTCACGCATTTACATTTACTCAATAAATCCCGAACAGTCTTCTGCACTTTCACTAACGCGCCTTCTTTACCCACAGCATTAAACAAGTCACGTGACGGCGCTCAACCTTGACACACCCCCACGCCACCCCACGCTACCACCCCACCTACCCCCACGCTACCCCACCCCCCCACGCTACCCCCACCCCTACCCACACCCACGCTACCCCCACGCTACCCCCGCACGCCATACCCCCCACGTACCATGTCCCCCCACCCCCACGCCCACCACCCCCACGCCCCCCAGCCCCCCACGCTACCCCCACGCTACCCCCACGCTACCCCCACGCCACCCCCCCACGCTACCCCCACGCTACCCCCACGCCACGCTACCCCCCCCCCCACGCTACCCCCACGCTACCCCCCACGCTACCCCCACGCTACCCCCCTACCCCCCCCACGCTACCCCCCGCTACCCCCACGCTACCCCCACCCCAACGCTACCCCCACGCCCCCAACCATGCACCCCCCCACGCCCCCCCACGCTACCCCACGCTACCCCCCCCACGCTACCCCCACGCTACCCCCCACGCTACCCCCACCTACCCCCACGCTACCCCCACGCTACCCCCGACCCCACGCCACCCCCACGCTACCCCCACCTACCCCCACGCTACCCCCACGCTACCCCCACGCTACCCCCACGCTACCCCGCACCCCTGCACCCCACGCTACCCCCACGCTACCCCCACGCTACCCCCATGCCACCCCCACGCTACCCCCACGCTACCCCCACGCTACCCCCACGCTACCCCCACGCCACCCCCACGCTACCCCCACGCTACCCCCCCGCTACCCCCACGCTACCCCCACGCCACCCCCACGCTACCCCCACGCTACCCCACGCTACCCCCACGCTACCCCCCACGCTACCCCCACCCCAGCTACCCCCACGCTACCCCCACGCTACCCCCACGCCACCCCCACGCTACCCCCATGCTACCCCCACGCTACCCCCACGCTACCCCCACGCTACCCCCACGCTACCCCCACGCTACCCCACCCCCCCCACGCTACCCCCATGCCACCCCCACGCTACCCCCATGCTACCCCCACGCTACCCCCACGCTACCCCCACGCTACCCCCACGCTACCCCCACGCCACCCCCACGCTACCCCCATGCTACCCCCACGCTACCCCCACGCTACCCCCACGCTACCCCCACGCTACCCCCACGCTACCCCCACGCCACCCCCACGCTACCCCCATGCCACCCCCACGCTACCCCACGCTACCCCCACGCTACCCCCACGCTACCCCACGCTACCCCCATGCCACCCCCACGCTACCCCCACGCTACCCCCACGCCACCCCCACGCTACCCCTTGCTACCCCCACGCTACCCCCACGCTACCCCCACGCCACCCCCACGCTACCCCCATGCCACCCCCACGCCACCCCCCACGCTACCCCCACGCTACCCCCACGCTACCCCCACGCTACCCCCACGCTACCCCCACGCTACCCCCACGCCACCCCCACGCTACCCCCATGCCACCCCCACGCTACCCCCATGCTACCCCCACGCTACCCCCACGCCACCCCCCACGCTACCCCCACGCCACCCCCACGCTACCCCCACGCTACCCCCACGCTACCCCCACGCCACCCCCACGCTACCCCCACGCTACCCCCATGCCACCCCCGCGCTACCCCCACGCCACCCCCACGCTACCCCCACGCTACCCCACGCTACCCCCACGCTACCCCCATGCCACCCCCCACGCCACCCCCCGCGCTACCCCCATGCCACCCCCATGCCACCCCCACGCTACCCCCACGCCACCCCCGCGCTACCCCCACGCTACCCCCACGCCACCCCCGCGCTACCCCCACGCTACCCCCACGCTACCCCCACGCCACCCCCACGCTACCCCCCACGCTACTATATTTTTCATGTTCACGGCCGATCGTGGAGATCCGGGTTTGATACCATCTGGATCTGGAGCCAGTGGAGGTTCTGGACAAATGTAGAAGGATCTGCAGCAAACAGCTTTCTTTGTGAGATTTATTAAATTAATGAAATAGAGTGGAGTGGAGTTTGCATGTTCTCCCCGTGTCTACGTATAGGTTTCCTCCGGGTGCTCCAGTTTCCTCCATCACTAAAAGCATGTTCAGTAGGTAAAATCCTCCAGGGAAGAGGAAGAAAGAGCGCAAGTCCTAATGTATGAGCACTTGGGTTCTTAACTGGAAAATGATGCCAGTGTGTCTCTAAATTAACTAAATGAAGTATTTTTGGGATTTGGAGCCATTGTGGACCCTTAGAACAGGATCTGGGGCCAGTGGAGATCTTTAAAACTGGAGTTATTTTTGAAGTCTGTCAAAATGTGAGGGAGAGATGTTGCAGATGCTGGACTGATGTAAATGATAAAGGGCAATACAATAATCTAATCTTAATCTAATATACTTGTGACAAATGTTTATACAAGTCCTTCAGCCTTTGTGATGGAGAAGCAGCTGCAGTTTTTCTCGCTCACCAAAGCACAAGACATCTTCTTTAACGCCTGCTTGTGTAACTTGTTTACCGGCTCCGTTGCGTTTTCTCCCCTTATTTGGCCGCCGCCTGTCAATCACCCGCAGAGTGCACAGTCTATAAGTGCACTAAGCTCATTCTTCTCCCGCTGACCGCGCTCAAAGCCTCCAAACTTTTACATACGGCTGCGCTTGATTGGCGTTCGGTTACAAAGCAATGAGGGGATGATTAGGGACTCCTGCTCGGGAAAGTCGAACAGATTGGCCTGACACAGTGAAGCTATCCATCAGAGCGGTGGGCTGCGGAACCGCGGGGGGAGGAGGGGGAGGAGGGGGGAGGCATATGCTTTGTGGCTGCTGTAGAGAGGATGCAACTCCAGTGTTGTCATTTCCAACGCCTACTCTTCTGCCGCAGATGGACGTCTTACAGGCTGAGGATATTGAGGACAAGAGGAAAGACGACAGATAAGATTTATGAGGGTTGGGAACGTTGGACACAAGGCAGAAAAACGTGACTCCTGAGATGTTTCAAAACACTGGATCAGGACCAGAATCATTTTTATTGCCGTGTAAGTAACAGGAAGTCACAAACTTGGAAATTGCTTTGGCTCTCGGTGCAACAGTCAAAGAAGAGAGGTAGAGAATAGAGCAAGGCATAGTAAGAATCAGCAACACTTCTAAGATATAAACATTAAAATGATCACACTTGACTTTATACCAATAGATTGAGATGTGTTTCTACAGGGTCACGTCTATCTAAGATACTGCACAAAGTTTCTCTGGATATTTTTACGTCAATGTTGACACAAATAATGCAAAATACTACTTCAAGTTACTTTACCATTGAATATAAGTTGTGTATTGATGTTGGTGGCTATAACCTGGCTCTGGAGTGTTGTCTTTGTGCTGTCACATCCTGGCACTGAGACATGGCACGTCCCAAGTCCCTCGGCCCAGCTCTCTCAAACAGACTCCAGCCAAGACACATTCCATTCCAAATGTATATGTGCACTTTACATTAATCCCCGCAGGGCAATCCATCCTCTGCATTTGACCCATCCTGATGCTGCTAAGGCTTACATCAGGAGCAGCGGTCGCCGTAGTAACAGCGCCCGGGAACCCATCTCCAGATGTTGATGCTCGGCTTGGTCAGGGCCAGAGCTGGAGGATTTAACCAAGTGAGCATGTGTTTAGTGGTAGGGGAAACTGGAGTACCCGGAGGAAACCTACGCAGACATGGGGAGAACATGCAAACTCCACTCAGAAAGGCCCCGTTCCGACCGGGATTCGAACCCAGGACCTTCTTGCTGAGAGGCGAGAGTGCTAACCACTCAGCCACCGTGCTGCCGATAGAAATGAAAAGAAAAACACAAAATTCTCCTGTATCAAAACTGTTTGTTTCACCGTCCTGAGAACTACGGCGAAGGATCTGTGTTCACAGCGTGCACATCACAGAAACATCCCATTACCGCATGTATTTGTTCATCTCTAACAGTTTGAGAAGTCAGATCATATAAAGTAAACGTCCTGTGGGGAAATCCGTTCTCTGCCCCTTGGCCAGTCCTGCGTCTACCCTCCTCCTATCTCCCTTGACCAACAAAGCCATCCGATTGTAACTAAGCTCGCCAACAAAACTCCATTGAAGCGACCGGAGCAACACGCGTCCTGACATTTCCGTTCGCCGTTCGTGGAATGAGGCGTATTGTAGCGTGTGCGCCAAAGCGGCTGGAGCTGCCCCGTTGCACAGAGGCAACGGCCCCTTCGCTGCTGCTCATTTACTGGGATGAAAAGGCAGACTTATAGGGCAGCGCCGCCACTCACCTGACAAGGATCAAAGTGTGCTCCGAAGGCCCGACAGATGGAGAGATTTCACTTCTGCGGAGCGCGGCATAATTTCCCCGGCCTCAGAAGCCAAATATGAAAAAGAGAAAATGACAAGCAATCTCATCGCGTTAGCACAAGGAGAAATAGATCGTGTTTGTGTTGCTGGATGCCTTAAGGCGCCGCACTTTGGTTTTGTCACAGTCTATATATTAAAACGGTGGCGCAGCGGTTAGAGCTTGAGCTTCACAACAAGAATGGTGTTCGGGCAGATGTGTGGACCTCAATGGTGTTCGGGCAGATGTGTGGACCTCAATGGTGTTCGGGCAGATGTGTGGACCTCGAAGCAGACACGAAAAATGAGGGAAAATCAAAATATCCAAAATATTTATTGAGCAGAAAGTGTAGCGGGCGCAGCTGAAGAAGATGGAGGGCGAGGCTTGGTCCAGTGGGCTCCGAGCAGGCGATGGAACTGTAGACAATCTAAAAATATGTCCCAAAGTCAAAAACTCGATATAAAAGTCTCGTCTGACGGTGGAAGAATGAACAGTCTGAGGAAGGTGCTCAGAGGCCACGCCCACAAGAGCCTGAAACAGAAAACAAAACAACAATCCTCTCTGCCAGGGCTGTTCTGTGTGACGTTTGCATGTTCTCCTCATGTCGCTGTAGGTTTGCTCTGGGTGCTCCGGTTTCTCTTACATGCTAAAAACATTTAGATATGTATGAATGTGTGAGTGAATCGTCTGGCTTCTGTCATCACCGAGTGGAGAGACAAAAACAACAAAAACATTTCTCACCTACCTCTGGTAGGTATACTGGTGATGCGGACTGCTGAGATTTTAGTGTAAAATGCTTGATTTTGATTTTTTTAAAAACACATTTTTGGATATAGCAAATTATATGTTGAATATATTAATTTTTCAATGGATTTATAGAGCACGATTTCTACACAGGGCATCTCAGAGAAAAACAAGAAATTAGACATTCAAATCATTAAAATATAATTTCAATAATCACTGAAGCAGAGTTCTGTTGTTTGCAAAGATAGAATTTTGCATCACATTTTCCGCAGACTGTTGTAGACTTTAGCTACATGAAAAAATAACAATAACCAGCAGGAGTCCAGTCCCTGTGCTCCTCAGAGTCCCAGCAGGAGGCCAGTCCCTGTGCTCCTCAGAGTCCCAGCAGGAGGACAGTCCCTGTGCTCCTCAGAGTCCCAGCAGGAGGCCAGTCCCTGTGCTCCTCAGAGTCCCATAGGCCAGTCCCTGTGCTCCTCAGAGTCCCAGCAGGAGGCCAGTACCTGTGCTCCTCAGAGTCCCAGCAGGAGGCCAGTCCCTGTGCTCCTCAGAGTCCCAGCAGGAGGCCAGTCCCTGTGCTCCTCAGAGTCCCAGCAGGAGGCCAGTCCCTGTGCTCCTCAGAGTCCCAGCAGGAGTCCAGTCCCTGTGCTCCTCAGAGTCCCAGCAGGAGGCCAGTCCCTGTGCTCCTCAGAGTCCCAGCAGGAGGCCAGTCCCTGTGCTCCTCAGAGTCTCAGCAGGAGGCCAGTCCCTGTGCTCCTCAGAGTCCCAGCAGGATGCCAGTCCCTGTGCTCCTCAGAGTCCCAGCAGGAGGCCATCCCTGTGCTCCTCAGAGTCTGAGTTGGTCACAGATGTACTGTAGTTTGGTGTGAGGCCATGGAGAGATCTGCTTTAAAGTCTATTCTCTGAGCCACAAGAAGCCAGAGCAGAGACCTGAGGACTGGACTAATGTGGTCGTACTTCCTGGTTAGGGTTAGAGTACTTTATTGTCCTCTACATTTGACCCGTCCTGTAGCTACAGGGACTGGTCTGGTTCAAGCTGCAGCATTCTGAACACAGTGTACAGAGCAGCTGTAGATCCAGTGAAAAAAACAGAACAATGTATTTTTAAATAAATAGTAGTATTTGCATTTTCCATCAATCCATCATGTTTCACAGCAGTTATCCTTCTTCCAGTTTCTAAAAACACAGCCTCAGAAGTGGACTCTCCTATTGTTCTTGCTGCAGATGAATAGACGGGACTCAGAACTCACTAAGCCTGCTGTAAACGACTCACTTCAGCTGCCTATCGAATGTGTATTTTGGCGAGCTAATTGTTGCGGCAGAGCAGTCCTTTACATATCAATACACATGGACCGCAGGCGCATTTCAAACATTACTTTCTGCAAATACGCTGCACCGAGGCGGAAAACATGAACCGCAAATGAGCCGTGCAATTATAAACAAATAACGTTTCGCCCGACAAGTATGAGAGCGAATAAAGCGGCGTGAAAGGCAGAGGAAACGGGATCATTATCTGGCGCCCGGACAGAGCAAACAAGTCACAGAGATATATCTAATGGAGCACTTAAAACAACGCCCATGGATCCTAAATGTTTGGGGTTTTAATCACAATTTTGACCTAAAACAAATGAATAAATGATGGATTTTTTGCAGTGTAGGATTGTAAACGTCTCCACAACCAAGACACAGCAGCAGATCATGGACTCCAGCAGATATTTGTTATTCTGAGAAATATTTAGGATTTTCTGCCGTTTCCAGTGCATTCAAAAGAGTGAAAAACTCTTTTTTAAAGCAGTATTTTGAAGATGAATGTAAGGCTTTGATAATTCCTCCGTGGCTC